TGGTCATCAACACCGGCGACCGCACTATTATGGGTCGCATCGCGAATCTGGCCTCAGGTCTGGAAATGGGCGAAACCCCCATCGCCAGAGAGATCGAGCACTTCATTCACATCATCACAGGAGTGGCTGTTTTCTTGGGCGTCACCTTCTTTATTATCTCGTTTATATTGGGCTACCACTGGTTGGACGCCGTTATCTTCCTCATCGGCATCATCGTCGCCAACGTTCCCGAAGGACTGTTAGCCACAGTCACCGTATGTCTGACACTCACTGCCAAACGTATGGCGAGTAAGAACTGTTTGGTGAAAAACTTGGAGGCCGTGGAGACACTGGGCTCGACGTCTACCATATGTTCCGATAAGACGGGAACTTTGACTCAGAACCGGATGACTGTCGCCCACATGTGGTTCGACAATCACATCATCGAAGCCGACACCACCGAAGATCAAACCGGTATTTAACAGATAATTGATTTTTGATTAAACTTTTGCATTGATTACCGGAAATGTTGTCACAAAAACACAGGCGTTCAATACGACAAGACGTCTACCGGTTGGAAAGCCCTGAGTCGGAGCTGCTGTCTGTGCAGTCGGGCTGAGTTCAAAGCGGGTCAGGACAGTGTGCCCATCCTTAAGAGGTGAGCCGTCTTTCCTATTTATATTATACACAATATGCTGTATATTACTGTTAGGTCTTAAGTCTATTAATTCAGAAAAACATTTTATGTTACATAAGAGATAATGTAATGCTTACGTAAGTCCCACAGAGTATTACATAACAAATTCCGGGTTTTTATTGCCATTTAATCCTATTATTACTGACTCACTATTAATCGGCTAATAATTTGCATTTTGCGAAAACAATACCTTATATCCTATTATTTGCGGCCAAATAAGTGCTATTGTATTCATTTTCCAAGAATATTCTCTCTACAAAAACCTCTTGACTTTTTGATATAATTTATTCCATTAAACAAATATAGACAGCAAAAAAGTTTTATATGCATTATATGAAAAGTTTAAAGTCAAACATATTTCCTAAATATTCAAATCACACACAAACTTCTTATATACACAACGGAAATAAAGAAAGTATGAATTAAATGAAAAACATTAGGATTTTTTTCCATACATTCATTCTTGGGTTTATAGTTTCTGTTAGTCTTTGTGAAAGTTTAATGCAATCATATTTGCAGAGAAGGAGATAAAAGGTTTTGGAAATTCAAATATAGAGAGTATAATAGCAGAGGGCAGACAGAAACATGATAAATACATTTTTGTCGATTTAATTTTTGTCATAAATATTTTCATAAACACCTCTCACTTTATGACAAATCTGACGACAATCCTATTAATACCACTGTCTGTGACGCACAGGGAGTGCGCGGGCGATGCCTCGGAGTCGGCTATACTGAAGTGCATGGAGATCGCCATCGGGAACGTGGAGTCCATTCGCCGCAAGAATCTGAAAGTATGCGAAATCCCGTTCAACTCGACCAACAAATATCACGTAACCATTCACGAGACGGACGACCTCCAGGACGCCTCCTACCTGTTGTGCATGAAGGGGGCGCCCGAACGCATACTCGACCGGTGCTCCACTATCTTCATCAACGGTCAGGAGAAGCTATTGGACGAGGATATGCGCGACGCCTTCAACGCCGCCTACCTTGAGTTGGGAGGTCTGGGCGAACGGGTCATAGGATTCTGCGACTATAAGCTGCCGATCGATAAGTACCCGCCCGGATACCCCTTCGACCCGGATGAGGGCAACTTCCCTTTAGACAGTCTCCGCTTCCTGGGCCTCGTCTCCATGATAGACCCGCCCCGAGCGGCCGTTCCCGACGCTGTGGCCAAATGCCGGAGCGCTGGCATCAAAGTAATTATGGTTACCGGCGACCATCCCATCACCGCCAAGGCTATCGCCAAAGCGGTCGGCATTATATCGGAGGGAACGGAAACTGTCGAGGATTTGGCGCTCAGACTTAGTATTCCCGTCGAAGACGTGAACCCACGGGACGCTAAGGCGGCTGTAGTTCACGGACAGGACCTCAAGGATATGAAAGACAACCATTTGGACGAAATACTCAGATATCATACGGAAATAGTGTTCGCCCGGACATCACCGCAACAGAAGCTCTTTATAGTAGAAGGCTGTCAACGACAGGGAGCTATAGTAGCCGTCACTGGCGATGGAGTTAACGATTCGCCGGCTCTTAAGAAGGCAGACATCGGCGTCGCGATGGGTATCGCCGGGTCTGATGTCTCCAAACAGGCGGCGGATATGATTCTATTGGACGACAACTTCGCGTCGATAGTGACGGGTGTAGAGGAGGGACGGCTTATATTTGATAACTTGAAAAAGTCGATCGCATACACACTCACCAGTAATATACCGGAGATATCGCCGTTTTTATTCTTCATTATCTTCAACGTCCCGCTCCCGTTGGGAACCGTTACTATTCTGTGCATCGATTTGGGCACAGATATGGTTCCCGCGATATCCCTGGCCTACGAACAGGCAGAGAGCGATATAATGAAACGACAGCCAAGAGATCCTAAGAAAGATAAGCTCGTGAACGAGAGATTGATATCGGTTTCCTACNACCAATGAATATAATGGTATGAGAATGAAACTCAAAATACATTTATAAAACATAAAAGTAATGATCAAAAAGTTGTCTTAAAAGTATAAAATCATAATAAATATTAATATATATATTGTATTTGTTTTTTGGCATAAAAATTGTTTCGTTTCAAACTGTGAGCTCTGTTTTTTATATACCTTTTTTGTATTGTATATTATCTGAGGTTAACGTTATGGACCATAAAAAGTTATGGTCGCACAAACTTCTATACAAATATTGAAATGAAAAAATCTAAAATTACCCCCGAACAAATCACCACAAAATGTCTTATTGCACACATATCTCCTGCCTGTCCGCTCATATTCACTGGGAATGCCTTGAATTTGGAGGTAATTTACAATTTGTTCATTTACTCCACACACCTCTGTGGCCATACACCTGATACTTAATACTGAAATAACATATCCCTGTTCAAACTACATGCTTAACACTTTTCAAATTCCCTATCAATAATTACATACAGGAAAACAGTAAATATACTGTATATTCAAATGAAACACTCGCTGAAAAAACCTTTCGTATAGTTTTACTATTAATTATTCATAGTAGTACTTATTTTGTATATAATTAATTAATCAATAATAATTAATAAGTTAAATTTGGTAGCTTAACTTTGTTTTTTGTTTAGATCTAGTATACACATCAAAAAGTGGTTGCATTCTCCAAGTTATGTATATTCTGTCGACAAATATTCTGTAAAATTCTTGTGCTTTTGTATGTGTGTTGGAGTCTGCAATCCATTTCCCCTAATTGATGTCGGCCGAGCACCCGGGTGTTAATAGTAGGTCTCGAGCTCAATCCAACCGCCCGGGTTCCGGCGCAATATGAACCGTCTGGCCTCGTCGTAGACGAATATCAATAGTGAGAAAGGCAACGCTGGGAACCACCAGCTCAACCTATATATATAAGTAGGCGGGTGCGAATGCACACACAGGTAGGTTTGCATTAATACGGAATTTGAATACCGGTGTATTAAATATATTATTTATGCTAAGAGTAATCATTACTAAATATAAATGTTTTTAAAATTGCATTTTCAGTCTTGTTTACGAAATGATCGTTTTTATGTTTGCTTTTCTACTCTATTGCACACAATTTCCATCTCATATATTATGTAAATGTAAAAATTGCTCGCTAATTGAATCAAAATTGAGTTCAATTACATGATAATAGGATCTTCTCTTATAATTGAAATTCCAATATTTGTTTTGAATTTCATATCAGTCTCATAGAAACTATTTCTATATTTATTCAGCTTTATGTCTAACCATTGGTCATAATAATTTTGAAAATTCCTCATTATATTCAATATGAAATCTAATAAATAACATTTAATTTAAAAATGAGTTGAAACCTAATCTAATTCATTATCTGGTAATAAATGGGAAACGATTTAATGCTCAAACGCGAGACATAATTGAATTAAATCTCTTTTAAAGACTTTCGCTTAGATTTGATAATACAGTATTGCTTTTTTCAAACTAATCTTAAACTCATTTTTGTGTACTTTATATTAATATAAATGAGTAGAATATTCTTGCGAAACAAACAAATATAACAAATGAATACTTACTTTAATGGATATAATCTCAAGAGTAATGGCATTCCGGGACAGTATGAGAGAAAAGCTGCTAAACAGGTCTCGAATAAGAGGCCAAAATTTAAGACATGATTCCTGAGGACACAATTAAACACACGATAAGTAAATCGTTTTCTGATAGATTAGACATAAAGTGAGTATTCAATAAACAGATGAGCGCTTACTTCATGCCCTGATGTATGATTGAGTTTCGTCTAGTCTTACAGATGATGAGATCAGCCCATTGGACAACCACTATGGACACGAAGAAGGCCGTGTGGCACGTGTACTCAACCTCTTTGCGGGCTTTGTATGTCTGTCCCAAACAATCAGTCAAACGTACATTAATTTATAATTCAAATCAACAAATATTAAAATCTATTACCCATTCCTGGCCATAAGAGTCCTCCAAGTCGTTGACAGCCTTCGAGTCCCACTGCTCTCTGAGCCCAAACAGATGGTCTGATTTGAACCCGGATTCGGCCAGAATTATGAAGTACGCGAAAAAACCGGCCGCCGCTTGAATCATACCTATCTGTCCGTAGGAAACCGATATCAATCTCTCGTTCACGAGCTTATCTTTCTTAGGATCTCTTGGCTGTCGTTTCATTATATCGCTCTCTGCCTGTTCGTAGGCCAGGGATATCGCGGGAACCATATCTGTGCCCAAATCGATGCACAGAATAGTAACGGTTCCCAACGGGAGCGGGACGTTGAAGATAATGAAGAATAAAAACGGCGATATCTCCGGTATATTACTGGTGAGTGTGTATGCGATCGACTTTTTCAAGTTATCAAATATAAGCCGTCCCTCCTCTACACCCGTCACTATCGACGCGAAGTTGTCGTCCAATAGAATCATATCCGCCGCCTGTTTGGAGACATCAGACCCGGCGATACCCATCGCGACGCCGATGTCTGCCTTCTTAAGAGCCGGCGAATCGTTAACTCCATCGCCAGTGACGGCTACTATAGCTCCCTGTCGTTGACAGCCTTCTACTATAAAGAGCTTCTGTTGCGGTGATGTCCGGGCGAACACTATTTCCGTATGATATCTGAGTATTTCGTCCAAATGGTTGTCTTTCATATCCTTGAGGTCCTGTCCGTGAACTACAGCCGCCTTAGCGTC